TTTTGTGTGCAGTGATAAAGAACTGGTTTAACTTATTGAAGGTTGAGTGGAGAGACTGCTACTACACGTCCAATCGTAAATCTATGATGCAGGTACCTAAACCCTAAACCCTAAACCCTAAACCCTCGTTCTAAACCCTAAACCCTAAACCCTCGTCCTGTAAACCCTCAACACTAAACCCTAAACCCTCGTTATAAACCCTATAAACCCTCGTTCTAAACCCTAAACCCTCGTCCTAAACCCTAAACCCTAAACCCTCGTTCTAAACCCTAAACCCTCGTGCTAAACCCTAAACCCTAAACCCTAAACCCTGATGCTTGTGTTACAGGTACAATACCACTGCCTGCACTTCGTCGCCATTCGAAACGAAGTGCCGTCGCCTGAGCTCGCCCCGGGCACCTGCGGCTAAACCCTAAACCCTAAACCCTAAACCCTAAACCCTTATGCCGCACTAAACGCCTTCTTTGTTAGGCCCGCGCAGTCATGCAGTTTCTTTATATTTATTTAAGCAGATTCTTCCATCAACACACAAACAAACCAACACCTGCTGCAGCAGCAGCAGCAGCATCTGCTGCTGCTGCTGCTGCTGCTGCAGCTCCTGCAGCTGCAGCAGCTGCTGCTGCAGCAGCTGCTGCTGCAGCTGCTGCTGGTGCTGTTGCAATTGTAACAGTTCTTGCTGCTGGAGCGGCTACAGCAGTTGCTGCTGCTGCTGCTGCAGCTATAGCAGGTGATGCTGCTGCAGCAGCTGTAGCACTTGCTGCTACTGCTGCAGCTGAAACATTTGTTGCTGCTGCCGCAGCAGCAGCTGCAGCAGCAGCAGCTGCTGCAGCAGCTGGTGCTGCAGCAGCAACTGCTGCAGCAGCTGATGCTGCTGCTGCTACAGCAGCAGCATTCCTGGTTCAGGTTGCATCAGAAGCAACAGCAGCAGCAAGAACTGCAGCAGCCTACTCCATCGCTGCTGCTGCTGCTGCTGCTGCTGCTGTTGCTGCTGCTGCTGCTGCAGCAACATGGGTGTAATGCTGGCTATGTGCCAGAGGAAACCCTAAACGGCGGTTTGCCGAGGTCTTTTGTTTAGAAGCGAGGGTTTAGGGTTTAGGGTTTAGGGTCTAGGGTTTAGGGTTTAGCGATCAGCTCCTTGTACACTGCTGCAGCAGCTGCTGCAACTGGCGGGAGCTTCGGCCATGTCTATAGAGCGCTTCCTACAGTTTAGGGTTTAGGGTTTAGGGTTTACGGTTAAGGGTTTAGGGTTTAGGTTTTTAAGGGTTTAGGGTTTAGGTTTAAGGGTTTAGGGTTTGGGGTTAGTGCATATAGACCGGTGGTGATACGATAAACTAAAAATATATTTGTTTAGGGTTTAGGGTTATCTAGCATTTTCATTTGCTGCTGCTGCTGCAGCAAGAGCAGCAGCAGTTACAGCAGCAGCAGCAGCAGCAGCAGCAGCAGCAGCAGCAGCAGCAGTGCCCCACGTCGAGGCAGCTGCGGCTGTATTGCGGGTATATTTGTTTGTCTTTTGTTTTATTTGTGTTTATTGAGTTAATAAATAAATAAATAATTTATTTATTTTATTTTACTTTTCGTAGCTGCCTATACACCCCAAAGCTCAGGGGTGTGAGCGGCTGGCTGCAGCGGGTGGCGTGCACACAAGGACGAGGGTTTAGGGTTTAGGGTTTAGGGTTTAGGGTTTAGGGTTTTGCTTTTGTTGATTAGGGTTTAGGGTTTAGGGTTTAGGGTTTTGTTATCGTGAATTAGAACCCTCCTTCTTTGCCCCGAGCTCTGTCAGCATCAGCAGCAGCAGCAGCAGCAGCAGCAGCAGCAACAGCAGCAGCAGCAGCAGCAGCAGCATCACAACACTGCCTGTGGTGTATGCTCACCTATGTCTGGCGTCTCTGCTTCTGGAGCAACGATGGATACAGCGGGTGAGGGGCCCCCCGGGGGCCCCCGTACCCTCAGCAGCAGCCCAGCTGGGGGGCCCCCAGGGGGGGCCCCCAGGGGGGCCCCCGGGGGGGCCCCCATGATAACACCCACATTCATAGAACTCGTGCGGCTGCTGCGTACCCCGCTGCGGGGGCAGAGGGCCCTTGCGGTGTATATACACTCGAAGATGATGGACCTGGGTTTTATCCCCTGTGAAGAAGCAGCAGCAGCAGCAGCAGCAGCAGCAGCAGCAGCAGCAACAGCAGCAGCAGCAGCAGGGAGCCTGGTTAGATTGCCT